CCGCCTAGGCTCAAGAGCGCCATCACCTGGTTCAAGTGGTTCATGTTTATCACTTGATGGTCCTTTTGATGCTTTAGGAACTTCTACAAGTTCACCTTCTGGCCTCTCAGGTGGTTCTGAGGGAGCATACTCCTCAAGATCATCACCCTTTAAATCATTCTGAGGCTCAGATGGTTTCGACTTGTGTCCCTTCCAAAATGGATCAAAACCCTTGGAAGTATACCGAAACTTTGGCGGCACGGGCTTTTCCGCGGCACTTGATGGCGCACCTTCCTTCTCTGACGAGAAGCCTGGTTCCCTGTCCTTTGCAATGGGAACCTTCTCTGAGGAGGAGCGCACCACTGCATCGGGATCACCAATGCCACGGTGCTCAATGCCAGCCTTCCTGATCTTTAGATCTGGAATTTTGGCATCTGGCTTGAACTTAAAAATTGTTCTACCACGCCATTCATAGCCAATTTGTAGGTCCTTCCATTTTGCCTTGCGCCAATCATCTAGCTTCTTGATTTCTTCTCCTCCTTTCTTCTTCTTGATGATTGTCAGTCGCAAGTCTTCCAGTAAGTCAGTGTCTACAGGACAGGACTTAGTTGCTGGAAAAAGAATCTTTCTATAATCCTTGTGGTGACGTATCAGTTCTCTCTTGTGAACATCTACTTCCCAGTAGTCAACCACAGGATATGCATGTTCAGCTACATCTTCATCACTATTGTGATCAACAGAAATATGACCATATTCATAGTGAGTGAAGTGAGAGTAAAAACTCTTCTCGCGCCGAGTCTGCAAATTCACGTCAGACAGATACCATGCAATATCTTGGAAGTCCAAGACAAGATGAGTACTGGCTGCAACCTTCAACTCCAAATATTTGATACCAAGAGGCACCGATGTTAGATAAGCATGTTGAGGTGTCAGCCTGAGTTCAAAACCTAAGTTCCTCATCTGTGGCAAGCTCATAAGCACAGGGACTTCTCCTTCTTCCACTATGTCGAACTCTGTATGGTGGATCGTCCATGCACGATCATACATGTAAATCACCAGTTTCTGAGAGCAAGTAGCCTTCTGGGAATTGGCAAAGTAAAACTTGCTCTTGGTAGCCTCAAAAGAGTACCATAATCCACAATCTGGGTGATTGTCGACATAGTTGCAAAAATGGTCGACTGCTCGCCTTGATCCCATAGCTCTAGTGCATCCAATGTCCAGGATTGCAATAGTCGGCGGGAAGCGATTCTCAGTCAAAAATGAAATAGCCTGCATCACCTTCACTTCTTCCTCAGCGCTCATAAGCGCAAAGCCATCAGGAGCCTTTGTGAGCATCTCCTTTGACAAAGAGTACCTCACAGGGGCACTCATGCCATTGAAGATCGTCTCACCATTGTTGACCGCGCAGTCAGCTTCATCTTGACATGAGGTCATCATGCCTGACAGCAAGTTCACCTCACTGTCATGGACTTCAGCTGCTGCTGTCACACAATGCGCAAAGAAACCTTGTTGACCTCCTGATGCTTGTGAAGATCTTGAAGGTGCAGGCAAAGAACGTGGCTGTTGTTGATTTGCATAGTTTGCATCTTGTTTGCCATCTCCTTTATCTTTTCCTTTTCCTTTCTTGCCTTTTCCTTTTCCTTTGTGGGAAAACCATGCTTCTTCAAGCTGTTGCCAAAAATCATTGGCATCATCATATTCTCCTTGAAGATAGTCATTCATATCCTCGGCAAGAATGGCATCATATGCTACTTGGTTTGACTCCCAAGTGTCCTCATAAGGATTCTCTTCAAAGTACTCATCTGGATAAGTTGTCTGTTGCTCATCAGCAAAATGGCCTTTACCTCGTCTCTTTCCTTTTCCTTTTCCACGAGGTCTGAAGAATCTGCGGCCTGATCTTCCTTTTCCTTTTCCTTTTCTTCTTCCTTTTCCTTTGCCTTTTCTGGCTCTTCTTCCTTGGAATCTCCTTTGGAACCACGAGAAGTTTTGATCATCATATACCCAAAAGACATCGTCCAGGGCATCTAAAAATCCTTCAGTTCCATCTTCTTCATCTTCGGCCCAATAGCCAAATGTACCATCGAGTTCTCCTTCGTCTAGTACGAGAAATGATCTTCTACCTCCAGCACCTGTCGGCTGCATCAAAGGATTGTCTACTGAAGTCTTTGTTGTGCAGAACATCTCAATGAATACTGTCCTCAGCTCTGTTGTAGTGTATTGCTGCAGGACCCTGCCACGATGAGTCATCAAAGAAGTCAAAGTGTTTCGCTGGTCCTGAGACAAATCCGCAAGTGACAGCATGAGTAGGGCAATGAGATTCTCTCCTAAAGGAAAATCATTCTGATGAAGAATTCTCATATTGCCATTGACATTCTGCATGATTTCCTGAATCCTTTCTGCCGTTGGTGCTACTCCAGTCAACGCTGCATCTGCCTGCATCTGAGCTAGGACTTGTGGATGTGCTTGAGTGACTGGTTCTAACATGTCCATCCAACTGCTCATAAGCCTTTGGAGTAAAATCTGGAATCTTGTCATCCATTTCATCATGTCAGCTGATCCTCGATTGAAGCGCATGAATTGCATGAACCTATACAGGAATACATTGGTTGATCCTTTCACGAAATATGGTCGTAGTACTCGTTTGAAATATTCTACGCCGGCTCCTGGTGGATCATTTGCCTTCAATGCATCTCTGTCTAAAACACGCTTGTATACAGCTGCTTCTCCTTCTAATCTGTTTCTCAATGCTGGTCCTCTCTTCTCATCTTCCAGCTCGGTGATATCACACCAATCGTCTATGGCATCCTCATAGGAAAACCATGAAGTCTTTCCATCATAAGATGGGGGCACCTTTGTAGTGACCTGTGTTGTCATTGCTATTGCTGCTGGTTCTCTTCTCACATGCCTATTCACATAGGCTTCTGGCTCATAAGCCACATCCGCATCAGGCTCTTCCCAGTCGTCTATCCAATCCATGGCTGTTTGCCCACTAGCAAGTCTATGCCTAGGAAAGGAGCTCACCTGGGTCTTCCAGGATCACTGCTCCGCTACCACTGAAAGAGTGACTAGGGCGTACACGGTAGAGGTGCAGACCGCTAGTGTCTTTTATGCGCAGAGTCTTATCCTCTTGCTCTTTGAGCCTTGAAGCAGTCAAGTATGGACACACTATATCGGCTGTTGGAGTGGAACCCTGTACAGATAGGCTCTACTTTTCAGGGGGGGGGGTCTGTATTGAAAAATCAATTCGAGGGGGGGGGGG